CGCCGCTGGCACTAGAGGCACAGCATGGCCGCCTAGTAACGGCCCCGACCACTGTCGCTCGACCTGACCGGAAAAAAACGTAGCAGGAAGCTAGCGAAGTCGTAGCATATATCGTCACAAACAGAACTGCCCGGTAAACCGTAGGCAGAGAGAGAGAAGAAGACAACAAACGAGGGGCTGTGACAAACTGTTTCGTCGGAGTTTCACCGACTCATCAGGAGGCTGAACCCTCAATAGTCTGCAGAATCCCCTCACTGATTACACTGTCAATGATAATCTACCTTAACCAAAATCAAAGTAGACTATCACTCACCCACACTAGATGGATATATATATATATATATATATATACATATATATATATATGTATATATATATATATATATAGAGAGAGAGAGAGACAGATGGAAGTGCGTACAATCTTCAATGGAATCTTCGTCGGGCGTGTGGTGGTGGTGAAGAGGTGTTGCGCAGGCGGGATTGGGTGCATCCGCGCGAACTGGTGTTCACTGATGATGTGACCGTTCGTGGGTACAGGTGGTATGATGTGCACGTAGGCAGGTTGTATGCCATGGAATTTTTGGCGGTGCTTGGATACGACGACGCTGATCTGTTGTCCAACGTCATCCTCTTCGCGAGAAATTGCACGACATAATCCCAGACGAGTGAGATAGTAATGACCGTGACGTTGTAGGGGATATCATCCGGCATTTGATGTCGGCCATATCTGAGGAGCACCACGGCAAGATGGTGGACACCCCTTGGTACAAGACCGTGTTGGAACCCCCACTGAGGGGCAGACCGTACCTGCACGAACTGCTGCAACCTTGGGACCCGGAGGATGATAATCGGCGCTCTCATCGTCGGTGAGAAGCGCACGTGCGTCTTGGCGGGACAACCGGCATCTGCTCTGAAAATGGGACACGGGTACAGGGCGGGGGACGGTTGTACACAGCAGGCCAGAGAGTTTTTTCCTGCACGAATTGGATTTGTAATTTGTTTGTTTTTTTCATCTTCTTTTTCTCGTGGGGGGACCCTATCCATATGACACTTGTCCATCCGCGTGTGCCTTGTGTGATGGCCTTGTTGCATGTATCTCATTGGGGGCCCGAACCACGTCTGCGACAGAGATGTTGTCCTCTCCGCTTCACAATGTCACAGAAGTCGTGGACATGGCGGGTGATTTTGCGCTGACCCACAGGAGGATGATTGAACAAGCTCATGAGCTCGCACGCAAGAGAGGTGTTCTCTTCACACTCGTGTCCGCTATGGTGGAGGAGTTGAAGTGTTTGGGGGAGCAAGTGACAAAGTTTCCATGAGAGAGGGTGTGGCAGTTTCGAAAGCAGAAGTTGTAGAGACCACGATCATTGTCTTGAGGGATGAGGTTGCGCGTTTAGAGCAACAATTGGTAGTCTACGAAGGGGCGTCGTTGAATTCAGGGGCCACTCGCGGTTAACGACCACCTGAAATTTTAGAATGAAAGATTCTGAAGTGGTCTGAAACCACTGAAATGGCCCGAAGACACTTCAGGTCACTTCAGAAGTTTCGGGTGATTTGCAGGATAAGTTTTATGTTTTTTTTTTGTTTTTTTTTTTGCCTGTTTTTTAGCCACTTCATGTCATTTCAGGAATTTCAGGTGGGGACTTGAAACCGTTGAAGTGGCTGAATCTTCTGAATGGGGTTTCAGGTACCCCCATCTAAATGGTTGGGTGGGGGTACCTGAAACCCCTTTCAGAAGCTTCAGCCACTTCAGGACATTTCAGAAATTTCAGAAATTTCAGGTGGGGACCTGAAACCGCTGAAGTGGCTGAAGCTTCTGAAAGGGGTTTCAGGTACCCCCATCCCACCATTTGCAATGGATCAACCTGAAGTGGCTGAAGTGCCTGAAGGTGGTTTCAGACAACCCCATGTATAGATCCACACACAATCCGAAAATGTAGTAACCTAAAGTGGTTGAACTGCCTGAAAGGAGACCTAAAAATATATGCACCCGTTAGCCATCTCTCTAAGGGGCAGATCGTGACGATCATGTCAGCAATGTGCACAGCTCCGGGGGTAGGCGAGGAGGAACCGTGGCGAGCGTCACTGTGTCCCTCAACAATTTGGTTGCGGCCAGTCCTTACCAAACACCTCCGCAAAGGTGTTTGTCCACAACTTGTGGTGGCAGATCGCCGTAAGTTACGACGGCCATGTCACCAGACGCTAACCGTCGTGATGTGACAGTTGTCGCTGATCACCTTCGAAGGGCAATGAGTATGGAGCCTGATTCATCCACCGACTCTAAATAGTGTTGCATAGATGAGAGGGTGATGAATAATTTACCACCACGATTCTTGCACTGCATCCATTCATGTGTCCTTCGTCTTTTTCTGGTTTCTGTGTAAGGTTGTGACGAAGGGTCTGGGTGTTTACGGGGTAGGCGTGTGTTCGCTGTTGTGGGGTTGTCAAGATCGAAGTAGTTTGAAGACGAGTGTGGTGGTAATTTTTTTTTCCCGCCATGAATTGACAGATTTGACTGTGGGCAGTTGATGCACATAACTTTTTCTCATTACTTGTCCTTCTATTGTCATTTTCAGTGTGACGGTGTGTACGCCACGTGAGATTGTTGAGGGTGCCATTCATGGAAGGTCGTGTTTGTCACGCATGTCACTTGTATGGAAAGGGATGACCTGAAAATGTGATCATTTGTTTCGGGTTATGATTTGGAAAATGCATGTAGGCAGTGGTAGAACAACACAACGTGATTTTGCACATTTCCGGGCCTTGGGAAGGAATACAAATGATCACACCGCTCGTGTGCCGGCTATCAGGCAACAACATGAACAATAAATACAAAAACAAAAATATATAAACCACTGTGGCTCAACGATACACCCATGAGCTGCTGATAAACACATCAGAGTTCAAATCCAATCGGAATGGAATGAGTAAGCTGACTCTCAATTTCACTGGGTGTTAACAGTTCGATGATCACATCTCAAGGTTGTCGCCCATTACAAAAAAGAAAAAACATGTAAAATAAAATAAATTAGGAAAAACTTCCGAGTCCAAACACTTGTGATTGATAACGGAGCATGCCATGTCGTGTTGAAATCTAGTTTGTGCAGGCTGTCCGTTCCAAGAAAAAAATTGATTGCCTATCATTGATTTAGACAATGTATGCAGGCCGTGCCTTCCAGACACTTCCTATTGACAATGGGTCAATCCATGTCTTTTTCAAATGCTTCGTGTATATAATGAATATTGTGAATGGTTGGGGGTGAATTGTAGGTGGATGATTGGATCCCAATTCTGTAATGTTTCAATACAAAAAAACTCACGATGCACTGAAAATGACAAATCCAAACACACGACCCACAAAAAAGAAGACAAACCAGAGGTTTCCATCACTGAAAGTAGACACTCAATATTGACGACCCTCAGACAGGTAACAAAAAGTAATAGCATAAAAAACAGTGCACTCTCTCTAAAAAATCTCTCTCTCTCTCTCTCTCTCTCTCTCTCTCTCTCTCTCTCTCTCTCACTCTCTCTCTCTCTCACTCTCTCTCTCTCTCTCTCTCTCTCTCTCTCTCTCTCTCTCTCTCTCTCTCTCTCTCTCTC